TAATAAACAAAATTTTCTAAAATTAGAATATAAATATAAATACTTTATAGTTAAGTATAATTGATTATTCTGATTAATTATTAATTATTTTGTCCAATTATATAATTATTAATTTAAACATGAAATTAATTTTAAATAATAAAGTTAATAAATAATTTTTTTAAAACTACAAAGGATCTAATTAAAAAATAAGTGAAATTATAAAGACCTGATAAAAAGAAAAAAATAAAGGGGTCTAATAAAAAACACATGAAAGTAAAAAGATATAATAAAAAAAGATTTTATAGGGACCTAATTAAAAATCAAATGAAACTATAAGAAGGGAAAGATTAATTATCCCTATAATTAAATTATATATCTTATCAATGTTAATTAAAAATATTTTAAAAATATATTTATGAAAAAATTATTTACGATTTAAAATTTAAAATTAGCGTAATTGAAAATTAAAATTATATTAAATTAGTGTCATTGAAAATTAATATTATATTAAAAATAATGTTTTTTAAAAATGAAACATTATAAAATAAATAAGAAAACAAACATTTTGTCATAAAAATATTTATAATTAAAATTATCATATAGTTTATTTATATATATCCATATATATTTATATTTAATTTTGCATAATAAATTAGTAGGCTGATTACAACTCAACCAATCAAGCCACACACACGCATAGAAGGTCCCGGGTTCGAGCCGTGAAGAAGTCACTTTGAAGAGAAATTATGTGATGGCGACACATGGCGGGCAAAAATGAGGTGGCGACATGTGGCATTAGAGGTGAGGTGTCATAGGCAATGAGGTGATGACTGGTACAGGCGGCACGTGGCATTGTAATTTTGGTGAAAAAAATCAAACTAGAAATGGATTATTTTCCGTCATAAATTAGTAACGGATTAGTGACAAAAAATTTCCGTCGCAAAGTAAAAATTTTATCACTAAATTCAGTCACTAATCACTTGTTTTTTTATAATAAAATATATTGGAAGTGACTTATAAATAGAATTAGAGGAGTATCTTCCTTCAATGATTGATGGCTTGACCTCTTACCTCTCAAGTTAATAAGTGACTAAAGCTGTCCGACGTAACCAATGGGGAATAGAAGATCCAAACAAATTCTTAGATAAATCAAGACATACTGTTGAAAGAGAGTTTTAAGTGTCATAAGGGATAGGTCCATGAAGATTCTTATTTGATACCTGAGTATAAACCAAAATTTTCAATTGGTATATCCACCCGCTTTGGAACTTACGAAGGCCCAAAAAAGCAAGAATTGGATAGGTCAAGAACAGCTAGAAATGAAAAGTTAATGGTTCCATCAACTAGAACATGACTCAGTTCAAGTGGGATGGTTATCTCCATCTGTATGTATACGTGAAAATGATATTACAGAGAAGGTACAAATGTTTTGATTTGTAGAATTTATATCTGACCAAGCTGAAGCTTTAGGATAGTCCAAAACAAAGAACTACAGAAAAGATATTAAAGGAATAATTAACGTTCGGCCAAGGGGAAAAAACCAAGAAAGAAAATAGGAAATGAAACAATGGCTAGCGTTCTTCTTTATGTTCTCTTGCAAATAGGGGTGCATGGGCTTTGTTAGTTAATGCTGAACAAATCATAAACATACTCTATCTTGAGTCTTTTGATTCATCAGTTGCATTCTCTGAAAATGGTTTAATTTGGTTGATTATTGTCCATGACAACAAATTAATTAAATTCATAGATTATAATTTTACTAAATTCACGGATGATAAGAAAAATTCTATATATTAGGAGTCAACAAAATTCTATATAGTAATAATAATAGTTGTAAAATTCCATTGTAACTATCAGAAGTGAGTTTTGATTTTCCTTTTATCATATCATACACTTAAGAACAAGTTTTGGAAACAAAAAACAAAAAACTTTGTTTGCAAAATAATTTTTCAAAAATCACATTTGAAAAAAGTTATAAAAAATTGCACTTTAACAAATGGTAGTTATTACCGATAGTGATAAGTAGTAGATAGTAGAGGAGAAGAAAAGAAGATTTCTCCAATTTTTCAAAACAAAAAATAAAAAACACAAAAACAAAAATAAGAAAATATGTAAAAGTTGTTTTGGTTTTTCAGTTTTTAAAAACATTTTTTTTGTTTTTTAAAACAATCAATTAAAAACAAATTGTTAAACAAGTTTTTTTGTTTTTAAAAACAAAAAATTGTTTTTAAAATAAGAAACCAAACAAGCCTTGAGTCTTGCCCGTTAAGCTGATAACTCTAACTAGCCTGGGCTGCAACTTTCTTATATTATAATTTGTGTCTGCATTATATTAGAGTTGAGAATTAATATAAGAAAGGATCCGAAATGCGATCGTAATAATTTTAAATATTCCTCGTAGCTCCGCAATCTAAGCAGCAACTTTCTAGGAGAAAATAGTTCGGAGCATATATTATTTATCCAATCATAACAAAATTCATTCAAGTTTTTTTAGCCTTTTGAGTAAAAAATTTTTACTTGCGAAATTGAAAAATCATGATGCTTGGATGTAAACATATGAATTTTATGATTGTATCTATATATATTTGCCATAATTGACGGGCACAAGAGCAATAATAAAGTAAATGACCAAAGACTTGAAAAATTAAGAAGTTGGGTTGTGACAGAAAAAGGATGTTGATTGCAACTTTGCCGGTTTTAGCACGCAAAAACAAGGACTTAATTGTAAAAGACGTTTTTCTGCCAAAAATTTTTTATTAAAAACTTTTTTTAATCATATACAGATATATATCTTTTTATTGGAAGTAATTATGTTTAATATATGGCCAGATATTAAACATGAGCATCTCTCTTATTGAGAATTCGATTATGGAGAGCTAGATTATAACCACAAAAACATAATTTTCCAAAACACATATTAACAATCTATTTTCTCCAAATAATGAATAGTTTCTTTCATGAACTATTATTCTTGCATGGAAAATTTAAAAGTCGGGACAAAAATAGTAGCAAAGAAGTTGGAATCCCATTCCACACGTTGAGACTGATACTGTGGTTGTTTATTGGTTTATAATCAACTTACATCCAAACACCTATAAAATGAACACATTAATTTTCCTTGTTGTCATTATCTTATCAATTCTATTTTCTTTTTCAAGAGACTCTATTATATGTCTATCTTTGCATATCTTTGTGTTGATGGCGGGTATAAGAGTACAAAGACGATGGTGAAAGACTTGAATAAAAGTGAATACATTGCCCTTTTTAATACGCTCAATAATAAAAAGATTTTCCACATACATACTTTCTTCAATCTATAAGTCGCTTATGAAAAAATTGTTTGATCCAAAAATATAAATCACTTGAAGAGTAATTAATATGCTTATTCGTTAATTTTGTTCTTACGATTAATGCTTAAATGTAACTTCTTATATATTTTTCTCTCTTCTTCACACAATCTCATTTAATATAGGTAAAGTTGAAAAAAAATTTCAATTTAAAACAAATTGAATGAGTTAACTACTACTCCTCCGTTCCTAATTATAAGACCCAATTGACTTATTTGAGGAGATTAAGGAAGTAAGTTAAGTTGATTATTTATAATAAATAAGTGTTGTCATTCCTAAAATATCCTTGCTAATTAAGTATATTGGCTAAAACTATCATTATTAGAAAGATTATCTTAGAAAAAAATGCATAAATATAAGAGATAAAATGGATTGGGGTCTTATAATAAGGACCGAGGAGTATTTTTTTTTCAACGAATTAATTAAAGTGACTTGTTTTATGGATAGAAGAAAATACTATAACAACTTTTTCTCCTGCCATACAATGAATAGTTTCTTTGCTGGTCAAAAAATAAAAAGAATAGTCTCTTTTATTAGTTATTCAAATGTGGAAAATTTGAAAGTTGGGACCAAAGTCACGCATTAGTGTATTACCCACTAGTCAACTTCTTGAAAACAATAATGGCCCACGACAATAATTTTCAATATTCACCATTTTCCTATCACTTTCTTTTTCATTTCTTTTTCTTGTAAATAATGCAATTCTGATACATTTTATTACTATATTGAATATTGATACTTGTGATGTGCTTATGATAGTAGTGGAAATAGAATTATATGTTGGCGAGGTACTTAGATGTCATGTTGAAACTATTTATACTTTGGCGATGTTCTAAACATAAAAGTATTAATTAAATAATTTGAACATCCCTCAAACATATAAGTTTCCTTAAATATAGATAGGGTTTGCTTGTTACTCATACTTGGAAGATTTTCAAGCAAGAAATAATTTGGACTTGATGGAAGAAAATAAATTAAATTTCCTTTTCAAGATCCAAAATTTCTCTTGCTCATTAATTAGATGACTAACTTTTCTATAAAACAAGACCTATTCAACAGGCACTTCCCAACTTTACAAGTACAACACGGCAAGTTTGAAAGTATTAGAGAACGTCCCATCCACATCAATTAATGAGATGATGGGCCATTATTCTAATTGAAGCAGTTTGGGTTATAACTTTCTTATCATTTTCCCAGTTTTTAATATAAAATTTAATTAATTTATTTGGAGAGATTAAGAAATAAAAATCAATGAATTATCTTGAAGTATTTATCTCTATCATTTTTTTTTCTAAACTAATTTTTAACTCTTATAAATTGATATATATACTCTAGTAATACACGTAAACATTTTAGAGAGATTATATAACATATGCTATAATTAAGTAATTTCATAACTTTTTTAATCTCTCCAAATTAGTCAATTAAACCTTATATTATAGACTGGAGAGATTATATTATCTCTTCCACTTTTTCTAAAACCTTAGAACACGCACGTTTACCTCAATAGCATTATTGTCCCTCACAATATATTATCGCTTCTTACAAAGAAACTTTTTTTAATGTATATTAAAATATAACTGAAAATAATCTTAAAACAAAAGAAATCGAAAGTAGCATTATAAATACTAGCTCTTTTCTCCAAGAGCTGTATGTCCATCAAAGCATCCATCCATTAGATCAAATATCGGATAGCAAAAACATTTTGCCTTGACGTGATCATGGATGGTTCCTGCAATAATCTTGTGGTTGTTTTTGTTTGGTTACTTACCTTATCAAATGTTGATTTATGCATACGCAAAGCATCTTGTGAGGTTCAATGCATTCCAAGTGAACAAGATGCCTTACTTAAGATGAAGCGTCACCTCTCAGATCCTTCAAACAGGCTCGCCTCTTGGTCTCCTCATGGAAATTGCTGCAACTGGGCTTTCGTTATCTGCCACAACATTACAGGCCATGTTCTTCAGCTCCATCTCACAACTCCACCTCCTTCAGAGCTTCACTACATGGTTTTCAATGAGACATTAAATTTTGGTGGTGAGGTACATTCGTCTTTGCTTGGCTTAAAGCATCTGAACTACTTAGACTTGAGCAATAATGATTTTGGAGGTATGCAAATTCCTACTTTTCTTGGTTCAATCACAAGCTTGATATATCTTAATCTATCTAATGCCGTATTTGGTGGAAACATTCCTCATCAAATTGCAAAGCTTTCCAATTTGCAATATCTTGATCTCAGAGGTAATGAATTTAGTGGGAGCATTATTCATCAAATTGGCAAGCTCTCCAATTTGCAATATCTTGATCTCAGAGGTAATGAATTTAGTGGAAGCATTCCTCATCAAATTGGAAATCTCTCCAATTTACAATATCTTGATCTTGGAGATAATCAATTTAGTGGAAGCATTCCCCATCAAATTGGAAACCTCTCAAATCTAATCAATCTTCATCTCGGATATAGATTGTCAATACCTATTGAAAATCTTCAATGGGTTTCCGCTCTTTCTTCTCTTCAATATCTTGAGCTGAGTTATGCAAACCTCTCCAACACCTTTGACTGGTTGCAGATTCTACATTCACTTCCTTCTTTGAGAGAGTTGCATTTATTAGAATGTGATTTCAACCATCATTTTGAACCATCCATCATAAACTTTTCATCTCTAGCTGTCCTTCACCTTTCTGATTCTTATTTTGGCACTTCATTGATCCCAAATTGGGTATTTCAACTGAAAAGATTGGTTCATCTTCAACTAAACAATAACAGTTTTCAAGGTCCCATCCCAGTTGGTATTCAAAACTTAACTCTCCTTCAACATCTTGATTTATCTTACAATCAATTCAACTCTTCTATTCCTGATTGGTTGTACAATTTTGGTCATTTAAAGTCTCTCAATCTCTTTCAAAGCTACATAGTTGGCACAATTTCTGTTAACATTGGAAACTTGACTTCTCTTATTACTCTTGATTTTAATTATAATCTTTTAAATGGGCCGATTCCAATTTCTATGGGAAATCTTTGCAACTTGAAAAAATTGGCTCTTTCAAACAATAAGTGCAACCATCAAATTTCTGAAATATTAAAAATTCTTTCAGCAGGATGTGTTTCCCAAGCATTAGAGATTTTTTATATGAGTAGTTCCCAATTATCTGGCCATCTCACTGACCAGATTAGTCTTTTCAAAAATCTTGTTGAACTTGATCTTTCTGACAACTCCATTCAAGGTCCAATACCTAACTCATTAGGAAACCTTGCATCTCTAAAATATCTTGATCTATCTGGCAATTCCATTAAAGGTGCACTTCCTAGCTCATTAGGAAATCTTAAATCTTTGATCTATCTTTCTCTTTGGAACAACACTATTAACAGTGCAATTCCTATATCATTTGGAAACCTAACATCTTTGATGCACCTTGTTCTCACTAAAAATCAACTTGATGGAAATCCCTTTGAGATTCTAGGATCCCTCTCTAAATTGACTTTTCTTAGTTTGGGATATAATCTCTTTCAAGGAGTTGTCAAGGAAGCCCATTTTGAAAATTTCACCCATTTGCAGACATTTTGGGCACCAAAAAACCAACTCACTTTAAAAGTGGACCCTAATTGGAATCCTTCTTTTTTACTTTTGGAGGGGTTAAGTTTGAATTCTTGGAATTTAGGTCCCCAGTTTCCATCATGGATTCAATCACTAAAACATCTTTGGTATTTGGACATTTCCAACGCCATGATTTATGATTCTATTCCAACTTTGTTTTGGGGTGCAATGGGCAATATTCAATATTTGAATATCTCCTACAATCATATTGAAGGAGAGCTTTCAACTATACTGATAAACACTATTTTTGGAGGTGCTGTTGATCTAAGCTCAAATAAATTACATGGCCAATTACCTTATGTATCACAAAATGTGACGTACATAGATCTTTCAAGCAATTGGTTTTCGGGACCCATCACTCACTTCTTGTGTCATAGACAAGAGGAGACGAAGGCGTTACAGTTTCTTAAGGTGACATCAAATAATTTATCAAGTAACTTACCTGATTGCTGGATGAGCTGGCCATATCTTACAACAGTGAACTTAGCAAACAACCATCTCTCTGGGATGTTAAACACATCCATGGCATCCTTGTCGGAGTTGCAAATGTTGAACCTACGCAATAATAATTTTTCTGGAAATTTTCCTAGTTTTTTGATGAACAAAAGCAACCTGATTTGCTTGGATCTAGGAGAAAATCAATTTTCAGGAATACTTCCATCTTGGGTTGGACAAAGGTTGTCAAGTTTAAAGATTCTTGTTTTGAGATCAAACCAATTTTCTGGTCCCATTCCTCATCAAATTTGCGACATGAGTTTCCTACAAATCTTGGACCTTGCACACAACAAGTTGATAGGATATATTCCAAAGTGTGTTGAGCATTTGAGTGCTATGTCAATAATAAATGGTAGTTTAGAATCATCCATTTATTCTGCACAACAAATTGACGGGATATATTTCACATTGTTCGTTGAAGCATTATTGGTGAAAGGAAGATTTTATGATTACAGCAGCAACCTTGGCCTCGTCACAAGTATTGACTTTTCAAGTAATGAATTATCTAGAGAGATACCAACAGAATTTACAAGCCTTAAGGGACTGCATTTTTTGAACCTTTCAAATAATCATTTTATTGGCCAAATTCCTCAAAAAATTGGCCATATGGAATCATTGGAGTCTATAGACTTGTCAAGAAATCTACTTTCAGGTGAAACCCCACCAAGCATCTCTCAATTAAGCTTTCTAAGCTTCTTGAACTTGTCTTACAACAACTTGATGGGAAAAATTCCAACAGGGACCCAATTACAGAGTTTTGAAGCATCAAGTTTTATAGGCAATGATTTATGTGGTCCTCCACTCAACAGTAATTGTTCATCCAACAGCCCCACTAATGCCAAAGACAAAGAAGTCCATCATGAGAATGGAATCAACTGGTTCTTTGTAAGCATGGCATTAGGATTTATTGTGGGATTTTGGGTAGTAGTGGGTCCTTTGCTCTACAGTACTTCATGGAGGTATGCTTATTACCAATTCATTGATAGGATATGGTATAAACTACAATATCATTGTTACTGGTGAAAGCAAACTAAGGCCAAATTTGCATCTATAAGGTTCGCGCTTCTAGAAGAAATGAGTGATTTACCTCTCTCGTAATCATCTTATGCTTTTCAATGATGATGTTATTGATAAATAAAGTCATTTACAAGGGTTGTGTAGTTCAACTTTGAATGTCATACCACTGTACAATATATTTGTTGTGATGAAAGAGTTGTTCTTAGTAGGTGCATTACATATAAAGCTAAGCAATACATTGTTTTCTATAATCTTCAAACAGTACCATAAAAATCTAACGTCTTTAAAGACCAAACTATAATATTATGCATAAATCTCTATTTTAAATTTCCCTTGCTTTGATATCATACAAAGCTTAATCAGCGATTAGCATTTCTTAAGATCAACTAGATTCAATGCATTATCTTTGAGGACGTAATACTCCATCTTACAAAATGTGTGACCATCAATAATCAAGTTCAGCCCAAATAATAAAAATAGAATGAAAAGCAAAAAGAACTTTGCTTGCCCAAGAAATAGAATAAGAGATTTTACAATACTATAGAACTACCACAATTCACAACATTCAATTACTGAACTAAATTAAGCAAATCACTCTCTGTTTAGCCTAACATCAAGGGCACTATCAATAAAATGCCATTTACAACATTTGCTTAAACAACTTTCTCATGAAGGAACATAAATACCTAAGCTTAAACAACACGTGGCAAATCAATTGAACAAATGCATCACAATCAAAAAACTGATCAAGTCAAAGGTCAAATGTGAGTTCCCAACACAAACCAATCTAAATGACTGAATTACATGAAAGATGGGAAAGGTGGAAAATCATTACAAGACCCAAAAAAATGTGGGTAAGAGGGCCAAGTATATCGGATAAATCAGGATTTTTCGCATTAGCATGCACATCCGCGCCTTTGCTCATTCTCAGGAACAGTGTCTGGAATACCTTGAAAGTATCTGCAATTAAGAATGGAACACTATTTGCTGTCATGTATATTTCCTTTATGCTCTGTTTTCTGTTTTCTAGGATCACTTGCTATCATTTATGACTGAGTGTTTAGCTAGTAAGATTTTCTTGCTAATTTTCCAGTATGATTAGGTTTCTTAAGGTTCTATCATTCTTACTGAAGATTGAGACAAATATCCTACGTTTTATATATACACACACACCTACTATATATATATATATGGATGTAAAGATCTTGATATGATTTTGAATATGCGCATGCAAGTTTAAAGCAAAACTTACATGTCCTGCCCTTGCTCATTAGCAAGAGCAGTCTTAGCAATACACAAAAAAGCAGCATCTATATTGTAGTCCTCTTTAGCAGATGTCTCATAGTAAGGAATATTTCCTTTTGACACACACCAGTCCAATGCTTTCTTCTCAGACACCTGTGTTCAAGATAACCACATGAGGCTCCTTAGGTGGTAGGAAGGGCGATAGTTTGGGAAAAAGATCACGAGTTCAATTACTCCTCTTACAAAATTTTCCTTCATAAAAAATATATTTATATTTATTTAAAAAAAAAAAAGGCTATGAGAAAACCTCAAAACACATCACTGTCTGCTTACCACTCGACTATTTCCCCCATCAATATCAACCTTGTTTCCAAGCAATATAAATGGAAATTTCCTGGGATTAGGAGCATTTGCCTGTGTTTCCATGAAACTTTTTATCTTAATAGAAGCTCATCTTCATTCACAAAACATAAGTCAAAGGACAAAAATGGCCGTCAAATTTTAACATAAAAATGATGACCAGTATAAAGATGTAAAAGAATCAAATATTACACAAGAAAAGAAATTTTGATCAAGTCCCGTACTCCAGTTACGCATCCTCACCAAACAAAATATCAACATCATCACACTGGGTGGACTCGAGTCTTTTCAAATGAAAAATCAAGCAACCAATGCAATGCACTCTCATAACTTCATATGTATAGAGGATATATTTCCCATAATCAAAACGTTGCTGTCTTCGGCTTAAAAAGATAGTGACAAAAATGCCAAGTTTATTAGATAAAAGGGTTTGAAGAAAGTAGGGAAAAAAAATTAAAATTAAAGGTAATAAAGCAACAACAGCGCCAAAATTGTCAATTTTTGGAACCCACTTATTCAAGAAAATATGATATTATGAATCAAGTTCCTCCCAAAAAAAGGTTTAATAACAAGATAGACGACATAGCCTAAAACTGGAAGCTTCATGGTGTGTGGAGGCTCCATGAGAGACACACTGGAAATGAATGATTGATCCATTCAACTCCTAGGGAGGTGTCGATTGCTGGAGCTTAAGTCTACAAAGGGAGTTCTTCTTGTTTCTTCTCTAGATTCAGATTCTCACTTCTGATTAGCTTAGATTTAAGTTTATTAGACACTGTGATTCTGAATTTGTATGATCACTCGATTGAATGTGTCATTTGAGGAGGACGATCTCCTTTGTGATTGCTTGCAGTTCTGGATGCTCCTCTTGATTAAGACATATTGCTTTCTGGTTTCAAGATTAATTTGATGCATTTGCATTTTAGACATGATATTGCGTTGTAGATGTGGTTAAATTGTGGAAGGTTGCTAGAAGAATAATCTCTGTCCAGATTTGCTTTCTTCTCACAACTAAAAACCAAGTGGTAATTAAAAGTATACCAGTGGCTGAAGTTAATTCTGTGATATTAGGATGATTTCATGTTGCTATTATACTTGAATCAAGTGACATCTTGGATGTTTGAAATCTGACTAGGGGTTAAATAAATTCCATATCCTAGAGAAAAGCGAGGCAAGAATGAACACTATCTCTAGGAGTTGCTAATCACATATCATCTCTTATCACATTCCATTCCTCCACTTAATCACTAAAATACAGAAAAACAATTAGTTCTAGACAATTAGAAATAAAGAATTTAAATCACTGTCTCTTCTCTTAATTTGTAATTAAACTTCATTAATTGGAAATTCTAAAAGCTAGAGATCAAAGAGAACCAACCTAGGGTTGACTCCACTGCACTATAGGAGTTTAATTCTAGTATTTTGATAGCTAAACAACAAGTTTATCAATGATCAATAAAAATGACTCCAGAAATTGGAGACGTGGTCCGTGGATTATGCTAAAAGGAATCAATTGACTCAAGTCAGAATCATTTTGAAGTTCCTTCCTGACTGTTCAGTTCTTTTATGTTTACCTCTTCTTCTTCATCTTTTTGCTTTTATTTTGGCTGCCTTTCAACGGCTAACAAATAATAGGACTGGCCACCGTTAGCACATGAACAGAAATGAGGAATCAACTTTTATCCAGTGTTGAGTTTGCTGCAATGGTTTAAAAGTATTTATTCTAATTTTTCTGCAGTGGGCAGCATATTATGAAGTAGAAGTGGATTCTTTTCATGCTCGGAAGGGGGATCATGACTCCTTAGCAGTGTGGTCATACCTGAAGTAAACTCTATTGTTTAGGTATGCCAAATTTATACTTCACAATGGAGAACCCATAAAAGATTTAAGAATTCTCTACAAAAACTGCTGCTAAATCATCAGGAAGAGTAACATTTTAAACTAGATATCAGGCCCACGCATTGCCTAACATTTGAAAAATGAGTCCACTATTTATAATTTATGTATAACATGACTTGCTGTAATTTTATTATATATATAAAAAGTGAATAGAGATAATAATTTATTTCAATTGTTTATAATTAAAATTAGATATTAGGTTCTATGTATTATACAAAGTCTGATAAATAAATCACACTATTTAGACTTGTGAATAGTAAATGTTGAGGTAGTTTTTCTAATATATATTGATGCATTCTTCACACCCTTTAAAGCTTTTAATACAATATCACTTAAACAAGGATTTCCTTTTCATTCTGAAAAAACCATTATAAAATCCCCCATCTGTAAAATAAACATTTTCAACCTTTCCAAACAACTTAGCCTATTGGGAAAACTGATTTTTGAGATGCTATCAGTGAGATAATTAAATAGTCACAGTCAAGACTTTAATTCTTTTTGCCCTCATTTTTCTAATTAGATTAATTTCAACACAAGGTTTCCATGTGAAGGGTGTGAAGCATATATTAGTAAAATCAATCTTGGGCCTCCTTCTGATGGTAGCAGAGTCAGTTTTTGGGAGACTAGGTTATTATCATACGGTCAAACTGGAAAAGGATCCTCAATCTCTCTGAAAATCCACAAGTGAAACTCCCACAAACAATCTATGAGCAGAACATCCAATGGAAGCAAGATGAACATTTCTATTCCGTAAAAGATGAAGTAGAATTCATGAATTCCTTCCAGATCGAACATGTAAATCAAACAAATAATATAATCACAAGCTCCAAACCTTTAGATTATGATCTTATAGTATATCTACTAACTTTCATGTGATAATATTGATCAAGAGATGAAAGTGTAAAACACTAGAAACATACTTCAGCAGGGGCCATCCCACTTAAGAACAATTTTATGCACTCTTCTATCAAGGCAGGTAATTTACTCTTGACCCTTTATATTACCTCTTCTTCCCTGTAATTTTCGATCCTAAACACCTAGTACAGACTAGCTGATAGTCTAAGCAGAAAGATATAGAATAGAAAATCCCCTAAAAGCAATTTGACAAAACATGGGAAAGAAGAAATAAACTAAAGCAAAGACATAAATATCATTTCACATGAGGAAAAGACAGAACCAAGCATGCAAATCAACCAAAGCAATAAAAATACAGGATAAAGGGAAAGAAAAAGGACCTGTTTGAGAAATTCCTCATGCCATGTGTCAAGGGTATCGAAAGACCTCATAACATTAACATCATACACAAGGACACAACAATCTGCCCCTCTATAAAAAGAAACTCCGAGACTTTGAAATCTTTCTTGACCAGCAGTGTCCCATATCTAACTAGAACACAAATGATGCACTGAGATATACATAAATTTTCTAATAGTCAAGAGTAAATGAAATAGAAGACTGAAATATCACTGAGTTAGAAAACCTACTTGTAGAGTAACCAGTCTGTCATCAATCTGGAGTTCCTTGGTGACAAAATCAGCGCCAATTGTAGCTTTGTATTGCTGATTAAACTTCTTATGTATATATCTATTCAAGTGGTTAATCCACAGGAGCTAATTTCAAGAAGCACAAGAGCATAGAAATACTCGTAACTAGACATTAGGTACATGACTATTTACACAGAATCATGAATAGCAAAGCCTTCCTATCTTGCAGGAATCAAATAATGAAAACTAATAAAAAATTCAATAGAAACCAAACCCAGCAGTATAAAAACCAAATACGACGCAAATTAAGCGCCAACACCAAAAACAAAACAAAACAAAAACAAAAACAAATTTCGAAGATACAGATTTCAAATTTTAAGTAAATTAGCGGACTCCACAAACTCAGTACACCCAATATTACCAAATAAGAAAACTCCAGGCCAATCTATTAGGGATAAGGATACTGAGTCATCAACGACGTCTTTCCCACCCTGACAATGAATGAAGACAACAAAACCAATTTTATAATATGCTTATGAGTGAACAGATTTAAAATAAATACATACATATACATATATATACACAACCATCTAAAGCCTTACAGATGAACCCTAAGAACTTACCCGCTGTCGCCGAGAACGATGACCTTGAGCAAGATTCGCCTCCGCAATGACATGGGTGTGGCGGAACTGAATCGAGAATCTGAGCTGAGGAAGTTAATAGCCTTCTTAGTAAAACTGTTAGCCGATTAGAAGCGAAATTTGCAGCTGACTAGCAGTGCCAATAGAGAAAGCAGAAAGGGGCGCCAAGATGATTGCTTTCTTCAGCCATCGTTCCCCCTCCCCAACGGATGAAAAAAGGAAGCCACTGCGCGGTAACTTTCGGAGGCAAGGGAACGTAAACATTCTATAAGTAGTTTTTTACTTTTTTTACAGTAATTTACGAAATAAAAAATAAATACTAAATATATGAGAAGAATTTTATGTTAACTTATAGGGAAAATGACAGATAAAGAAGCTCCAAAATGTGAAATGTCAATTTGGGAAGCTAAGGAAATGTAATTACCCATAGGGAAGTCTTTCCCAAATTGGGATTTTGAAATTCAGTGAAATGACAAAAATGCCCTTTGTTCTTTTTTTTTTAAAAAAAAAAACCCAGCCCCTCACCGGTGGCCGGCGACCGGCGACCACCGCCGGCGACTGGCCTCCGGCAGCCGCCGACCGCCTCCGGCCACCGGCGCCGGCCACCGGTGTGGTGGCTGCCGGTGAAGGATTTTTGTGACAAGATTTTTTTTTTTTGGAAATAGGATAATATTGGTTCAAAGTGGCGGGGTGGGATTTGATCCCACAACCCCTTGGCCACTTGGACCAACAAAAGGATGACCATTGGGCCATCAAAGATTTCTTAACCTTATAATGCAAACAAAAATATAAGTTAACTCTTTTACTGTGACTCCAGCTCGTGACAACAATTTATTTGATGATGACAAGTCTTAATTGAGAAATAACAAGTCTAAATTTGATATTAACAAAGCAACATTGATCATAATTTATTTAAAAATGACACGTCTTTGTTGAAAAATAACAACAATTTATTCGGTATTTCTTGTTATGTACAAGGAAAAGTTGTTTTGTTAATATCAAATTTAGACTTGTCATTTTCCAGTAAAGACGTGTTTTTTTCAAATAAATTATGGTCATTTTTAATTAACGTAGATGCTATTTCTTGTTATGTATAAGGAAAAGTTGCATTGTTAATATCAATTTTAGACTTGTCATTTTATAGTAAAGACGTGTCATTTTTAAATAAATTATGATCATTTTTAATTAATGCACATGCTGCTATGTTATGTATAAGGAAAAGTTGCTTTGTTAATATCAAATTTAGACTTGTTATTTCTCAATTAAGACTTGTCATCCTCAGATAAATTGTTGTCATGAGCTGGAGTCACAGTAAAAGAGTTAACTTATATTTTTGTTTGCATTATAAGGTTAAGAAATCTTTGATGGCCCAATGGCCATCCTTTTGTTGGTCTAAGTGGCCAAGGGGTTGTGGGATCAAATCCCACCCCCGCCACTTTGAACCAATATTATCCTATTCCCAAAAAAAAAAAATCTTGTCACAAAAATCCTTCACCGGCAGCCACCACGCCGGTGGCCGTAGGCGGTCGGAGGCCGCCGGAGGCCAGTCGCCGGCGGTGGTCGCCGGTCGCCGGCCACCGGTGAGGGGTTGGGTTTTTTAAAAAAAAAAAAAAAAGAACAAAGGGCATTTTTGTCATTTCACTGAATTTCAAAATCCCAATTTGGGAAGGACTTCCCTATGGGTAATTACATTTCCTTAGCTTCCCAAATTGGCATTTCACATTTTGGAGCTTCTTTATCTGTCATTTTCCCTAACTTATATGAAATGGGTTTATAAAGGATTTTTTAAGCCCTGTCCTGAAAACACGTGCCTCAAACCTTAATTTAAGGCCTGCGATTAAATTTTCGGGGAAATTACTGTCAGCTCGCATGTAAAAGATTTAATTATTCAAAAATTCATTAACAATACAAGAGTTTGTAATTAGCAAATGACAACACTCACTTATTATGGGGATTTTTGATAATTAAATCACTTTAATAAGACTTCATAATAATTTTACCTAAATTTTAAAATTACTCTTACAATTTGAAAAAAGTTAATTATTTATATTAAATATATGTTGTTTTCTCTAAAAGAGTTTTTTTTATTATTAACTCAATATTAAAAACTTCCTTTTAAATATACAATCAATATAGTATAATTTGGGAAAAATTTATAAATTTGAAAAACAAAATAAATTAATATTTTACATTTAAAATTAAAATAAATACTAAAAAATATTTCTCCGATCCTTAATATGATACCTATTTAATTAATTTGATTAGATTAAGGAAGTTAGATAAGTTAATTAATTATAAGAAATATGACATCTTTTTCCTAAAACACTATAATCATCTTTTCTAATATCTCAACTCCCTCTCCTACTTGATTACGGTTGAGAGAGTATCAATAGGGATAATTTAGGAAAATTAATAAATATGAGAATTAGGTTTATACTTAAGATTAAAATTAACTTAACAATTAGGTCCTATATTAAGGAGCGAATAGTATTGTTTTAAAGAGACTTTGATTCAAAATTAAACAAATTTCATTGCTGCTTTTTCTTAAATATTTTTTATCAATCCTATCTGCATGTCTTAAAGAATTTATTTTTTTTATTATAAATGTAATATTTTAATTTACTTTGCTTTTCAAATTTATAATTTATTTGTTAAAATATCCTCATTGAATATTGGCTGCACATAGTAAGATGTTATCATCAAAGATAATTGCCATACATATGATTAAAAAAATATTTTAAAAAAATTTACACATACTCGCTATAATAAATAACTAATTTAACCAATTTTTTAATATTTATAAATTAATTATTTATCTATGAGTATATTAAATATAAATTTTAAACTTATTCTAAAGTAGTAGATGAGCTAAAAGAAAAATGTTATTCAAATAAGTATAAATGAGGGGGGCAAAACCAATTTTTTGGCAAAAAGCCCAATTTGCTTACTGTTACAAAAATTGACAACAACTTATTATAAAAAGGTTATTTTTAATGATAGTTAGTACTACCTCCTGTCCTAAATATAAAAGCTAATTGACGGTATTAAATACAAGTTATCAATCTATTTTGTTTCTCAAATTTATAATGTGGTTTAAAAAATATCGCTATTGATCATTAGGCGTTTTCATCCAAGTGTAGTTTCAATATATATGAGTGAATAAAAAAAATTAAAGAAGTTAATACCAATTTACTACAAATAAGTAATTTAACTAATTTTTTAATCTCTCCAAATTGATTATCTAACTCTTATATTAAGAATCGAAGGTAGTACCATATTTACTTACATATTATTCCTTTTTCTTAATTCTCCTACTAATATTTTAAGAGAAATAAAATGGACCATAATAGAAGGATTTTTTTACCAAAATAATACTCCCTCCGTTCCTTATTATAAGAGACAAATAACCAAATTACGTTGATAAAAAAACAGTTAAAATTAGTTGAGGACAATTAATGTGTAAAAAATATAATATTTTTTCCAACAATGCCCCCATTAATAAGGAGAGAGTATGAGAGAAAACAATTAAATTATTAAAAGAAAGAGAAGTGAGAGGGAAAGAGAGTATGAGTTGGAGACAAAATAAATAGGGGTAAAATAAGAAATCAATACAAAAAACTAGAGACAACTTTTAAGTGTCTCTTATATATAAGAACATGCCATAAGCATCAAATGTCTCTTATAATAAGAAACAGAGGGAGTAAGAAGTAACGAGTGATTAATGCTCCCAAGTTAAATGTCGTTTAGGTGGGGCCCTCAGCCAAATGTTGTAGGACTATTCACATGGTGGTTGCTTCCCACGTCGGCAAGTGCTCAATTAATATTCAATTCCTCATCATCAGCATGATTCGCCACGTGTTCAGATCGGCCTTTGAACCTGAAGCTATCTATCAATCTACAATTTCAAATAAAATATTTATCAAAAAATTGAAGAACAGGAAAAAAAAAAAAGGAAAAAGAACAATTTTAACTTCTAGATGGTATGACTTACAATATATTTCTATTACATGCTAAGCATGTTTTTTTTTACATAGTATAGAAAGTTGAAAAATCAGTCTTAATACAGCTTGCTATAGATTTTATTTATGTATTATATGTACATGTTTATTTATGCATTTTATGAAATAAAGAATCTATACTATTTGATAGATTGATTTAGAGGGTTTTCTCCGAAATATATTTTAGCCTAGGGAAAATTGCAACTAAAGACCACCAAATATATAAAATTGTGATTTGAGACTCTCAATTTGGAAAATAGTAAATAAGGACTCGGTCCTATTTTTGTAAATATAAAATCATGATGAAATGTCTAAAATGCCTCTCAGCCAAATGACAAGTTTACTTTAACAAATAACAATTTCAGTAGACCAAATCACAACTTGATTGAGGGTATGCCAAATGATGATTTAATTATGAAAAATGACAAGTTCACTTTAGCAGATAACAATTTCAGTAGACTAAATCACAATTTGACTTAGGGGCATTTTAGACATTTTACCCACATTTTATATTTCAAAAAATAAGATCGGGTCCTTATTTACTATTTTCTAAATTCAGGATCCTAAATCACAATTTTATATATTTGGGAGGTCTTTATTTGTAATTTCTCCTTTAACCTAAACATGCTCTAAACACACAAAAAAAAAAAAACATGAACATGTAAAGTAGTGTATAGATATTGAAATTGAAATTGAATGTTTGTGAGGATTAAATGTTCTGTAATTTTATTCAAAAATAATTACTAACTTTATCAAAAAAATTAAATTCAGTTGACTTCAATATCATCTTTTTAATTTGATGACAACTGACAAGTGTCTAAAGATTTAGCAATAAATTTCAGTTTTTTTAAAAAATGAGTATATTTATACTCAAAAAAATTAATATGGAGAGGAAGAAGTTAAGAAGACGTGGGCGGAGAGGCAATTTTTCTTCCCAAATCTCTTTATATATGAAGAGAAAATGAGGCATAAGGCTTAGGTTTTCTCTCTTATTTAAAGAACGCATTTTTCTCCTATTTTTTTCCTAGTTTTTTCTTCTTCCTAATTTTTTTCCACCGAAGCAGGGCTTAAGGTTTGTTTGTTTGTGTTTTTTATTAAAATTATTTTTTAGAACAAGTTTGGACCAAAAAACCAAAAGAAAATCCGTCATTGTTTTAATAAAAAAACATGATTAAAAATAAAAATTGTATTTGAAACAAT